GCTCCCCACACACCAGCTCTCAGTGGGGAGGAGAGCAGAGTGATGAAGCCAGTTCATAGAGGGGGATTATTAGGAGGCCATTGTTATGACCTTAAAAAGACATCTATGGTCCCACCAAAAGTCGCAACACAAAAGAACGCCCGAGAGATCGGACTTCCCCAAGAAAACAAATCAACTTTATGATACCAAAAAACCCAGGGAGGCAGGGGTGCACATCTGTATTCCAACTGGGAGGGGAAAGACCGAAAGAAAAACAAAACCCCGACAAACCGACTAAAAAAACGACTAGATAAGATAGAACTGGAAAAAAAAGGTGGTTGTGCCTAACAATGCGGCCATACAAAAAAAATCCTTCCGCGTCCTACTCATATCTACCCTTTCAAATGTTTCTGCTTCATTTGCTTTATATCTTAATTGGCAGCACCAGGAGAAAACAATTAGGGAACAAAAAACAGCTCTCCAACTGAGGACCATAACAGCCATGACTGCTAAAGGCTAGGGAGAGATTTGGCCAGGACACTGGGGTAACACCCCTACTCTTTTCAAGAAATGCCCTGGGATTTTTAAATGACTAGGACATCAGTTTTACATCTCATCCGATGGACAGCTCTTTTTTTACAGTACAGTGTCCTTGTCACTATACTGGGGCATTAGGACCCACACAGACCGCAGGGCGAGCGCCCCCTACTGGCCCCACTAACACCTCTTCCAGCAGCAGCCTTAGCTTTCCCAGGAGTCTCCCCTCCAGGTACTGGCCAGGCTCACCCTGCTGGGCTCCAGTGGGCTGCCAGCTGCAGCATGAATAAGCTGCTGGCTTTATACGTTTCTTACCATTATCTACTCTATGTTTCTTTCTTTTACTGATAAGTTTAAATCATCTTGCTGCTTATCTAAATTTTTTAGATAAGCAGCATTCACACATTTTTCATGAATCTGGAGGGAAGTACTTGATTCACTCGGAGAGCAAGGCAGTTGAACAGGTGAGAACTGGTCAGAAGTGACAGAGGACTCAGCAGAGCTGCAGCCAGTCTGACCACAAGTTAAGTGTTACTCCTACTCTCCCCACCATTTATCCTCGAACCTCTCGTTTAATCCAACTCACTTGTTTCTGGACATAAGCCAGCGTATTGGTTCGGCAACATGACTTGGAAGCTTGTTCCACACTCCCACCACCCTTTGTGTAAAGTGCCTCTTGTTCTTAGCTTTTAAGTGAACTTTACAGTTTCCACCTCTGCCCTCTGGTTTGTTTCCATGTTCATTCTGAGATTCTTCTGTTGGGAACACAGATCAGCCCAGAGGCTAAGGAGTTGACAACACGTACAAGCGAATAAGGAAATATTTTCTGGACGTAGCCAGGAGGTACACCGCTCAGTCTAATGCACTGGCAGAGTGATCATCTCAATGGAGGTGAATCATGGGGATAAACCAGCACAGGGAATACTTTAACCCTCTTCCCCAGCAGTACTGACCTGGTGGCACCCAGGGTTGATGGTGTAGCATGAAGCAAACACACACAACGGCACTGATCTCATTCTTTCATGGCAGTAAGAGCACATGTACACCTGCTGGTTCTGCATCTTCAAGACCAGGGCTTTACAACAGGCTGAAAATCTGCATCATCCTTTCTCGACAGACGCTTGTTAACAGCAGCCTCTCCTGCAGTAAATCCCGGGGGACCGGGAAGCAATTTCCACGGCAGAGTAGATTTGCATTAAAAGAGAAGAAAAAGAGACACCAAAAAGTACCAAAAGGTTTTTATTTTATTGGCATAATATCACATGAAAGTAAATGCTTTAGCCATTTGATTCACAGACAAAAAAAAAGATTGTTACATGTCATCTGCAGGGCAGAACAAAATACAACAGAACTAAGACCAAAAAACCTCTAAAGAGAGAAAGTAGTTGCTTCAACAGTTCCCTTTGGTTAACTAGTGACATGACTTGATATGACGGAGATGGGAACACCGATTAAACTGAACAGCCACTGTGGGGGAGAAGGAGAAGCCTACAGGAAGAAAAGGGGGCTCTCACCCCCAGGTACCCCTCACTGTGCCCTCTTTAGGGCAGCAGTGACCAACCACACCCACACGTACAGCGGCATGACCCAAAGACACTTGATCTCAGCCAATAAGATCACAGGTCAGGGGGCAGGCCCACCCCTGTGACCCAGTGACTTCACAACGGCTAAACCCATGAGCTTGGGCCCAGGCTGGCAGGCAGCCTGACCAGCGAACTGAAGCACTTGGCACATCTGAAAAAAAACAAGGCTGTTGAAGGTTTGGCACAGGCACCAAGTGTTGAGAAAAGGCAAAATCCAAGTGATCTTTACAGCACATAATATGCCCTTTGGCACAAACGTTTCATCATTTCAATTTCGACCACTTCAGTGGCAAAGACAGTAGAGGCTATTTGGGCAAGCGCAAAAGTGGATTACGATATCAACCGCTTGTTTTAAGAAATAAATGATTTCATACATGCGGAAAGGTAACAGGGCTCAATGCGCCTTCTCTAGTTGTTCTCAAATGTACATTCACAAATCTTGCGTGCTGTGCAAACCTGGCTGACCAAGAGCAATACAAGCACAGACTTGACGCAACCTGTCGATGAGTCCGACTTTTGAAGAGGTGTGGACTTAAGGAGTATAGTCGCTGCACAGCACCCTTCCTCTGAGTGTGCCGTCATCCAGTGTCTCTTTAAACTACTGTCTGCAACTGCCTCTCGACTCCCAACACACACCCCTCCCTCTCACTGGATACATTGCATAAACCTGTTTTCACACATCCCGCTGCTGAAAGAACTAAAACATTCTGACCAAAGGCAAAATAAAATAAAACACCTGATTAAAATGATTTAAGACTCGCCGTAAAAAACAGAAATTAATGGAATCTGACAAACGGGGTTTTTTACGGCACAGAGAATAATTCTGAAGCAAGTCGAAGACGCGAGCCCAAGACGCGTACAGCAGTTCCGCGATTATTCCGTGACCCCAGAGGCGCGAGGACACGCGTGAGGCGTCTCCAAGGCAACCGTCCCTCCCACAGGCCGGGGGTCAGCCTCCAGCTTCGCCGCACGACGGAGGTTTGGACTTGCACAACGGGTCCGAAAGCGCGGCGCTACACAGCCCTGCTGCAGCAACACGGCACGTGCATCTGCCCCAGGCCCTGCTGCGCCGGGGACTGCAGTGTTAGTGTGTGCTCTGCTTTGTGCCTGGTGTTGTGCCACACAAGGCTGCATAATTTAATACAGCAGGGATCCACCGTTTTATCAAAAATGTACAAGATATAAAAGTAATACCACAAAGATTTAAAACACTTCTGTATGAAATCTGTGATTTACAGCAGTTAAGAACACTGTACATATGCCCTAGAGAAAGAGAACAGAGCAAATATAAGTTCAGAGTTTTTACCTAAGATTAAACTTTTAAAAAAATATTCATGTTATTATTGCTGCTGTTAACAAGAGCAGAGTGATAAGCGCTCACAGCCAAGAACTAACCATACAAAGTTAATCCACTTTTATATATACTGTATGATAAAAAAATAAAAATTCACATTCGGGTTTCAACCACACAGTTCTCTGAAGTTTAAACTTTAGCGGAGATTGAAGAGGATAAAAATGACATTAGACCCGCTGTATGAAAAAAGATTAAAAACAACGTTTGCATGAGCAGTAGTCTCTGCGCAGCTCTGTTAGTATTGAGAACCAGATTCAGAGCTATTTCCGGTGTGCTTCTGTAGAGACAGAGCTTAATGGGGCTGGGGATAGATGCATCTTTCCTTTGGACAATGTGTATATAAATTTATATAGAATTTGTATCTATTCCCGATATTCTTCTCTGTTTTTCTTAAATATGAAAAAATTTCCATAGGAAAGCTTTACAAAAATATTATCCTGATATATTAATATACCAAGCTGTAAAATGCACCTTTAGTTTTTCCCCCCAAAAGAAGGAAGAACAGAGCCATCTGAAGAAAGTGCAGAGTGATACTGACTTCATACCAACACTGCTGTGGCCTAAATAGCAACAGGAAGTTTCCACCTGGACTGCAAAAATACATCTCATTACAAAACCTGCATCTCCTCAGTGCCAGTGAGACATCACACAGATATTGAATTGTACAATACTGGAGACCCGTGAATAGCTCTGCATCTCAGGTAAAGAGAGTAACGATATCAGTTCAGCGTTTACTGCCATATAAAAGGGACACTGTGGAACTGGCTCGGCGATAGGGCTGCACAGACGGATAGCGGAGGGCACCGCCGTTCGCCAGGGAACACTTCGCCCTCGCCTCTGTGTGCTTCACGCCCGGGCTAAAGAGCCCGACAGCGAAGATCCTACCTTCTGTTTCTCACAGGCAGTCTGGAAGAGCCTTACCAGCGGTTTGATTTCCGACTTCTGCCCTTGAAGGACAGAGCAGCGTCCCAGCGCGGGCAGGAGTACAGGAGGGAGGCAGGGTGTGGAAAACCAGCTGCCCAATAACTTCGAGGGCAGGGTGCATGAATGGTAACGACTGGGGAAATAACTGAACACCCCCCCACGCCCCCCTCAAAGATGGCTTAGAAAGCAGTCGGGTATGACTCGCTAGAAAACCATCGATATATGTGTAGATTTAGAAATATATATATATGTAGATTTTGAACAGCGCAGCCACGCCCACAATGAGACACGTCGGGGCTGAGACTCAGGGGAGCTGAGCCGGGGCGGCAGCTGCGCAGACACAGCCGAGACAGCGCCCTGAGGTGGTCCTTCTCTCTTGAAAGGCGCTATATATATACATACAGTGAGCCGATCGATCTAGTTCTGCACAGCCGCCTGTCAGCAGAGAGCAGTAAAGCTGCAAGCAGCACCCCTGAGTTTTACTGGTGAACACCGCTGGGCTACTCTCCACGGAGCACCTCAGTGTTTTTTCTCCCAAGAGAAACGACTCGTGTTTATTATCTGAAGGATAGATGAAAATAAAAAAAACAAAATCAAACCCAAAAATCAGTTTCCCCAAGGCCACGCTCGATAGGTCTCAGCTGGCTGCCCGCTGGGGAATCGCAGCGCCCCCTGCACGCAGGCGCAGCAACACCAGCTGAAGGGAAGAGAGTGGGGCAGAACGGAGGGGTATGGATTTGAACCGGGGGAACAAAAACAAACCCGACCAGACCTGCAGACGCCCCGCCCCGCCCCCTACCAGCCCTTACCCCGCCCCCAACCCCGCCCACACCCCCACCTCCACAATCAACCTACCCCACCCCCTACCTAGCCCTTGCCCCGCCTCCACAATCACCCCGCCCCCACCATGCCCAGCCCCGCCCCCAGGGGGCTCCTAGCTGAAGAGCTTGACGAAGCAGTGCTGGCAGTAGGGCTTGTCGTTCTGCTCCTTGAAGGTGCCCTTGTTGAGCTGCTTCAGGCAGAAGGCGCAGACGAAGTGCTCGGGGTGGAACTTCTTGCCCATGGCGGTGATGCAGCGGCCGGTGATGGGCTTCTGGCAGCCGGAGCAGAGCGAGCCGCGGCGCTCGTGGTAGTGCACCTCGCAGTAGGGCTGCCCGTCGTGCTCGAAGAAGCTGCCGTTCACGAAGGGCGTGAAGCACTCCTGCCGGCGCACGCGGGGGGAGAGCGAGGGAACACAAAAACGGGAGGAGCGTCAGGCGGGAGGGTCAGTTTCTCTGCTTTCAATCTGGAGGCAACAGGGGCCCCCCCAACCCCCCACGGCTGGGCCCCACATGTGGCCCGTGGTCGCTTGAGCCCCCCGCAGTGCGCCCTACCGGACAGGCACCGGGCCAGACGCCCCCGCTGGGTCCCCCGGCCGCCACGCCGGCTCACCCTCGCCCCCGACTCACCCGGCAGACGAAGCACTCGGGGTGCCAGAGCGCGTTCAGCGCGGAGATGTAGTTCTCCAGGATGGCGCGGGCGCAGCCGCCACACTTGGGCGCGAACATGTCGAAGTAGTCCTTGCGGCAGTAGGCCTTCCCGTCCTTCTCGTGGAAGCCTGCGGACACGGACACACGCACGCGGGGCGGCGCGCGCGGGATTAATTGCTCATTAAGCTGCAGCGTGCAGCGGCTGATGGGAGCGCTGCCCTGGGCTAGGACAGGCTGCCTGATCGATTCCTCAGCTGAACTGTGAGCTTCAACTTCAACTGTCCGAGTAAGGGGAACGGCAACGCTATTTCTATTATGAGGAGTTAGAAAGAATCGGCACTGATGAGTGCATTTCAAACCGCGATAAAAGAAAGATTCGCACACAGTAACACGTAAAACCTCCATTTACACATCACAAAAGACTGATGAAAACATTTCCAGGGATGCACAGTGCCAAAACTTCCAGTGAGGTGTTGTGGCTCTACTTCACTGTATACCAGCAGCTTTGTGAATACAGCTCTTTGAATCTAATAGCAATATTGCTTTTGATTTCAACACGGTTTTGTTGACAGATACTACTTCCTTAACTCTGCCTGCTGTAATAACCGGTCTGAGAAACTAGATTCTTCTGATCTAATCAAATTACCAAACATACCCAGATGCTTGAAAGCATTCAGGTATACAGGGACAGCTATGCAGTATGTAGCCTTGCATCATGATGCAAGGGTTCCGCAGTTCCTCTTTAACAGCTGCATGACAAGCACTTCGGGATCTGGGGGGGCTGCTGGGGCACGAACGAGCCACACTGATGATGGCAGGCTCCCTTTGCGTCAGATCTGAGCAGCTCGGGTCTCTAATTCTTCGCCGAGCCTCAGAAATGAGACTTGGATTAAAGCAGGCAGGGAGCAGAGACGAGACGAGACTCCAGGGCCATTTCCGAGCTAGAAGAAGGGGGGTAATTACCTTCCGGGCCGAAGAAGGACCCGCACTGCGCACAGAAGAAATGCTCGGGGTGCCACGTCCGGTCCAGGGCCGTCACCACTTTCTGTAAAAGCAACATGAGCCGGGCGAGTCAGCTGCATGGACCGGCCTCCAGCACAGCACGACACCAGCACAGCACTGTCCACCAGTACCAGCACAGCACGACACCAGTACCTGCACAGCACTGTCCACCAGCACTACACCAGTACCAGCACAGCACTATCCACCAGCACAGCACGACACCAGTACCAGCACAGCATGACACCAGCACGACACCAGTACCAGCACAGCACGACACCAGCACCAGCACTGTCCACCAGAACCAGCACAGCACTGTCCACCAGAACCAGCACGACACCAGCACCAGCACTGTCCACCAGTACCGGCACGACACCAGCACCAGCACTGTCCACCAGTACCGGCATCACACAGGATTTACAGACAAAAGCCATTCCAAATACTTAACTCAAATAGTTTTCACATAAGCTGTCAGCAGGAAAGTTGACGAGACATTCAGATTCTTCTGATCTAATCAAATTACCAAACATACCCAGATGCTTGAAAGCATTGAGGTATACAGGGACAGCTATACAGTATGTACCCTTGCATCATGATCCCTTTGGAGCGTAGAACATGGCCTCAGCCTGGTCATGCTTTCTGTTCCTCACCCCTGTGTTCCAGGACCTTTTTCATTTCCTGGAAGGTATTTTAACTGCAATACCAGAATGTGTCTGCAGGGGGCAGCAGACTCCAGCAAGGAGCCTGCCACCCTCTGTGAGCTCGCCTTGGGGGTGGAGGCAGTGGAATGCTGGGATTAGGTCATGTTTTCCAACGTCCTGCACTCACAAATCCCAGAAGAATTAAAACAATAGGGTTGTTTTCTTGTTACATTTTGCCCCCATCCCTTCGACTGTGCCTCTACTTTCTCAGTGTCGACGGGAGTCTACATTGTTGTGTAAAGACATCAGAAGGCCCTTCCCCCTGTACGAGACAGCCGAGCTCCATCAGAACCAGCCCTGCTGTGGGGTTAAAGTCCAGCCAGCTTTAGGAGGGTCAGAGCAGGTCAAGCCCTGTGCCTCTGCTGCCTCACAGGGTCCGAGATCGACACGCCCAGCCCACACACCGGGAGAGGGAGGACAGCTGGACCAGCCCTGGGCTGCCCCCCTCTCAGTTTGGAAAGGGAAGTCAAAGAAACCTGCGAGGGTGTTAGAGAGCCCACCCTGTCTTACCCCACCCGCAGCTGCAGTCCGGCTCCTGTCCTTTAGAGAGAGTCTATAGGAGTGTGCGTGGGTGGGTGGAATCAGGCACATAGCCACACAGATAGATACCACACAGTGTGTATGGGTGGGATCAGGGATACCCCCCCAGTGTGTGTGTGGGGGAAAATCAGGGATATACCCCCCCAGTGTGTGTGTGTGTGTGTGTGTGTGTGGGGGAAAATCAGGGATATACCCCCCCAGTGTGTGTGTGTGTGTGTGTGTGTGGGGGAAAATCAGGGATATACCCCCCCAGTGTGTGTGTGTGTGGGGTGGGATCAGGGATACCCCCCCAGTGTGTGTGTGTCTGTGTGTGTGTGTGGTGGGGGGAGGGGGGGAATCAGGGATATACCCCCCCAGTGTGTGTGTGTG